TGAGGGGAGTATTTGTCAAGTTCTGTGAAACATTGTGAATCCAGGTTTTTGCTCCACAAGCGACAGAACCTGAAAGAAACGTATGACAAATTCATATTTAACATAGAGATGTTGGACCTCTACTTTTCACTAGCAGGACACTGAAACTAATTCTGTTAGCTAACTCGAGATATTTCAACGTTGATTTTATGTTGCCATCTCTGTTGGGCCCATAAAACACCACTCCTTTTTTTAAATATTAATATTACCACTTGTAGTGAACTTGACAAGACAGAAAGAAAAAAGCCTTTCAGTGTGGTAGAAACTTTCAACCACACTGAAAGGCTTTTTTTATCCGGCCAACATCTTTATCTTTATCCTTTTCCTTTGTTTTGCACCCCGGACAGCTTTTTTCTCTGCCGCTCCATCCTGTTGCTACTAAATAAACATATTTTCGACTAACGTTAGTTCCAAGCATCGCTAAATCATTTCACATGAAGTTAACCTCAAAACCTGGACTTACGGATGAATTATACGGCCGAGATAATGAATATAAGTTTGCTAAAAACCAGTGGAACTTACCATGACAAAACTTGGCTGCAGAAACCGCCATATTGTTGACAGTTTGGCGCTTCTTTCAAACACGTCACTCGTCAGTGGCCAACTGCGCATGTGCGTCCAACGAGAGCTGCCGAATGATGCCGAGTTTTCTGCTGGTTTTGCAGTTGCTCACTCATAACTCCAAGTTCGGGTTACTTGGTGCCGATGAGTTTGATAACTTGCCTCAGTAGAAAGTTGTCTTTGCTAAGTTTAGGTTAGCATAGTGAACAGTTAGCTGGAATGAGTTCAGGTCACTGTTGGGACTTTGGTTAGATTAACTTTAGAAACAGTTTGTCATATGAAATATTAGATGTAGCATGAACATTTTGAGTCAATCTTCAGTTAGGTAGATTTGGATAAAGATTCAAACTGAAACAACTGCTGACTCTCTGAACTTACATAAATGATTAAGGAGGGCCTTCAGAAAGGGGGGGTGTTATCCCAGTGGATAGGTCAGAGGTCGAGTGGGTCTGCCTGTCACAAGATGAGTCAAATTCTTTGGTGTTTGTTTAGGTAAACACTAAAACCTTTAGAAACAATTCTTCTAGAATCAAATGTATTAATTCTGAACTAGTTAGTGTCTCACCATACTAATCTGCATGCATCTTAAATTACTAAAATAGAACAGGATTAGGAAACTAAAAGTTTTAGAAGTAAAATATTTCAAGTATTGTGAAAGAGTTTTTTTCTAAAGAAGACAATCCTGCAGTTGTTAGATCCAAACTCATTTGGCATTAGATTTGTGTCAGTGTGTTTATAACAGGAATCAGTTTCTTGATGAATCGCTGAGGCAGCAGAACCACCAGGTCCAGTTGCAGATTATAAATTTTGGTCTGGAATGTAAAAAAGATGAGACTGGTACAGAAAGACCCTGTTTGAGAATGACCTTTGATCTCTCCATATCTCAAAGAAGGTAATGAAATGAAACAGGTCAAAGGGGAGGACACACCTTCTAATGCATAGATTTAAATGAAGGGAATCCAGCTCCTTATAAAATGTCTGTTTTACAGCAGAAGATCGAATTGCTTTGTGCCCATTTTTGTTTTTCCTTTCAACTCGTTGCAGGTAATTGTGTGTTTTGTTATGTGTTTGGACTTCTTGATAATCTGGCTGCAATGCTGATGTGACATTCTGGATGCATTGAATTCTCTGGATAAAACTCCAGATATATCTGAAGTTTGTTCTCTGTGCTTCCCGCTGTGCATGCAGAGTCCGGGAGACTAGAGGAAAATTAACGAGCAAGTAAATTTATTCCTCTAAGTTCAACATCACTTTTCTTTTAGAGTAAGATATACTATTAGATTTTACAGTGTAATTCCTCGGCTGCTTTGTTTGGATCAGATTCCTGTGATCCTTCATTGGATCCCAACATAAACATGTCTTCCTATTTGATGAGAACAGAAGCAGCAGGTGGAAGACGGCTCACCTGGCCGTCCGATTGGCTGCTGCTCCTGGGAGACGTCGCCACCGACTGGCGGTCCGATGAAGACGATGAAGACGATGAAGACGGGCCTCACATTGTGACCAACAGAGTTTCTGTTCCCAGGATTTGGTTTCTGGTCTGGGTTAAAGACAGTTGACTTGTCTTTTAGCAAAATGAACCAACAACTGTTTGTAAAAATGGCCTGAAATCTGCACTGATGTGTCAAATTGAAAGTATCAGATCATTGTGAAGTTATGAAGCATTAGGGTTAGGGTTAGGTTAGGGTTAGGGTTTTAAAGCAGGTTTTTACAGCAGCTGGTTTCTCCAATGATTCTTTACATTCTTATTGTTAATGTAGGAAACATTGTTGAGGGTTTTAAAGATCTACAATACAATAAGGTAGCAACATTTACTCAGTCTTGTAAATTAGACATTTACTCGTTTCCACATATTTTCTTTTTACAAACTTAAAGGAAATTATGATTAAGAATTTATTCACTTTTCACATTAAGTACACGTCAGCAATGATTTTATTTTCAAAATTATACCACTAAGATCTATTTCTCAAATATTTGATCTGGTAAAATGACCCTAAAACTGCAATTTCATTTTACAAGATGAAAAGAGAAACTTTAGTGAATAAAAATTGAGTGTTTAAATATAATCCATGGTGAAAAGTTGAACTTGTGTTGTTGCAGCGTCTCACCGGGTTAAAGAAAAGGCCGAGATCAGGATTCGGGTTAATCTGAGATGTTAAATGTTAACCTAAACCTAGAGCTCTGGGCCAATGGAGATTCAGAGTTCAGAGTTCAACAGACAGCAGCTCCGACTTCCTGGATCCAGTCAGGCTGCAGGTTCAGTCGTGGGTCTGCTGGACCTGCTGGACCTACTGGACCTGCTGGACCTACTGGACCTGCTGGACCTGCTGGACCTACTGGACCTGCTGGACCTACTGGACCTGCTGGACCTGCTGGACCTGCTGGACCTACTGGACCTGCTGGACCTGCTGGACCTACTGGACCTGCTGGACCTGCTGGACCTACTGGACCTGCTGGACCTGCTGGACCTACTGGACCTGCTGGACCTGCTGGACCTACTGGACCTACTGGACCTGCTGGACCTGCTGGACCTGCTGGACCTACTGGACCTGCTGGACCTGCTGGACCTACTGGACCTACTGGACCTGCTGGACCTGCTGGACCTGCTGGACCTACTGGACCTGCTGGACCTGCTGGACCTACTGGACCTGCTGGACCTGCTGGACCTACTGGACCTACTGGACCTGCTGGACCTGCTGGACCTGCTGGACCTGCTGGACCTACTGGACCTGCTGGACCTACTGGACCTACTGGACCTGCTGGACCTACTGGACCTACTGGACCTGCTGGACCTACTGGACCTGCTGGACCTACTGGACCTGCTGGACCTACTGGACCTGCTGGACCTACTGGACCTGCTGGACAGGCAGGAACTTGGTTCTCAGAGCTTTTCAAAACTGCAGGCAGAAAATAATGATTGTTTAATGTTCAGGCGACACATTGTTAGAAAAACGTATAAGTTATCTCACTTTTTAGCTGTAACAACAGAAAACCTGCAGAACATGTTATTTCCTCTTTTCTAAGTATTTGACCTTTCTGACACAGCATGTTCTTTCTTCTTTCCTGTCTAACATAGTTAACCACATCCTTATCTGTTGGAACATTTCTATTCCTATTTTTATACACTTAAGAACTGTTTGCAAAACTAGTCTCGACCGGGTTTTTCCCCACCCTTTAGCGGTCGAGACATCATGTGGTAGGGCTTTCCTGTTTCAATAAAAAGCCTGGCGAGCAGAAGCTGCTTCAGAGTGAGTCGGGTGATTGTAACTGAAGCAGTCTCCTTGCAAGAAAAAATAACAATTGTCTGAGTCTCTGTTTTTTGCAGATGAAGCAAAGGTGATAGGGGTTTAAACCTATCACACATTGATGAATGGAGACAGGAAATGTCAAACATTGACATGGCAGCGGAGTCATGAGGTCATCAATTCAAACCGGTAGAAAAGAAATGCATGAAATCAAGACATTTTATTGTATTTCATGCACAGGATGTTTTATGCAGCACTGATGGCGTTTCCCAGCAACCTGCCTGACCCTCCATCAGTTTGGAAACATTGATCTGATGATGATGATGATGATCATCTTCAGATCAATGATCAGGATTTTGATCAAAGCACTTTCATGATCCTAAAATTCAAGTTCATATTGAAGATATTCAGCTCAAGTTTTTGTAGAAAACTCGTTTCTGCACACAAAACAAAAATGGTGGATATTCATCTCATACCAACAGTCAGGCACGGCGGTGGAGGGTGATGATGTGGCACCATTACCTCCTCTATTGTGTAAAAGTGGTCAAACATAGCAGCAGGTTTTCACTAGAACATCTGGAACAGAAAAAATCAGCGCTGCAACGTCCCAGTCAAAGTCCAGCCCACCTCAGCCTGTTTGAAATGTTGTGGTGGATCCCAAAGGAAACTGCAGAAACAAACATCTGCTGACTTCAGTCACTCACAAATGTTTCCACTGAAGAGGGTTAAAAAACCTGACTTTCTGCTTTTGACGACAGACAGATAATCGGTGGGCTTTGTTTAGACCAAAAATCCTAAACAGACATAAACAAGTTACTGTGGAGCTGCAGTTGTTTTCTGTTTGTCCAGGTGACATCAGCAGCAGAACTTTGTACCGGTCCAGAACAAAGCGGTTCTGGGCAGAACAAGCTGCTCGTCTCACTTCCGAGACATTTACAGCAATTCAGGAGAAATGTTTCAAAATAAGATCCTGTTGCAGAGTTTAAAAATATGTTTTGGAAATAAACTGCATCATTTCCTGTTTGGTCTTCAGGATGTTTGTGTTTCTACCAGAGATTCTGTTCCCAAAAAAAGCCTGGAATAGTTCAAGTAAGAAACGCTTTGGAGCTGCAGAGCGAACCAAGCAGGACTGAACCCGACTGAGCCCGACTGAGC